TTTGGTCATATTTCTCACGTTATGGTATGTAGTAACTTGACATGCTCATTATGTTTCCCAACTGCTTCATTGGGTGTTGATTCACAATCATGCCTAGTGAACTGTTCATTTTTCCTAAAAAAAAATTAGCACTCAATCTATTTAGTTGATCATTGTATTCATTATCTGAAATGTATGAAAAGCGACCAGATATCTTTGGACAAGCATGCTTCGCAACCAAAACACAAAAGGGTTTTTGTCTTGCTTACTTAAGGCTTGATTTAGATCTAAATGAATCAACTGGCTTTTAAGTAGTGTAGACTAGTGAGTACAAAACAGCTTTGTCTAGATTTTGTTCATGAATTTCTCATCAGTTGCCCTACTCCCTGAATAGATAAAGTCGTCTGTATGACCAGATACTCTATTCTTTATTTCAGGAATATGTATCGATACAGACCGTTCCAAGAAATCTTACGATTTTAAATACGTGCTTCGGTTTGGGCACCCGGGCAGTACCACAGCCCTTGCACATATCGAATGAGATTTGTGTGGCGCATATGTATCTGGTGCCTCTTTTTACCAATATCTATGTGTTAAAATAAATAAATAAACGATTTTAAATGCAAAACATATCCTAAACTAGATCAAATTTCTTCCCAATATCCAATGATATTATGAGTTTCTTCGAATGACAGAAACATGTTTTGTACTTCGTGTCATTAAACAAATCATTAAGCTAAAAACAGTGTCTGTGACAGTAAGGCTAGCATAGATACAATAAATACTTTAAAATATTTCTTTGATTGGTTAGTTTATATACGCTACGTACCTCAGTAGATTTCGATTTTGACCATAAAATCCTAAAGAATTCTGCAACAAAAAGTTTCCAGACAAGTTGATGACTTTTAATCGTCCTATAAAAACATCATCGTTACATACTAATTAAGTAGATGTGCTTTTCGAAGTATTGTATGAATACAATACCGAAATTTTATGTTTAAAGGTTCAGCATATTTATATTGTAATTATTGTGAAGGAGGTTAACAGTTAAAGCGATTGACCATCAACCATTATGTTTGATGTAGAAGCCCCACTTCACAAACGTATGTCTAAATAGTTAATTACTATCACTAGACTTATTCTTGTTTAGGACATAAATTTTGAAATAACTATACTCCACACGCTAGTTAAGGAATGTAATTATTAAGAAGAAAAAAAATACAAACGAAAGGAAACAACCGTTACATAAAAATGAATCAACCAAGTACATAAATCTGTACTGTTTGTGTCACATCAAGAATTAGTGATTATGTTGTCTTCATTCTTTTTCTATTTTCTTTTGGGATTTCACGTTTTAATGAAGTACGAACGACAACAAAAGCTGCATAAATTTGAATAAAGCGAACTAATTGTATGAATTTTTTTTCATTTTAGATTTAATCTTAGGGTGTTATTACTTACATTTATTATCCCATCAAACTAAAATCGATTCGTTAATAAATTTAATTTACACGTACTAATTTTCACTAAAGTAGTTCTAGTTGGTACTAACAAATGCCCTAGTACGGCCGAGAGTGGGGAGAGTCAAATCTCCCTCACAAAAGGCTCTCATATAGCCACGTGCATGCAGCCACCGACAGGGAAATCCTACTCACTACCTTCTCTCGGCGATGGTGTCGTTTACGAAATTGACAGGATAAGTAGCGAATGTCTGGCTCTTAAACCGGGTTGGTGGATATAAAGAATCCATCTAGAGAAGTTGGAATATCCTGATTCCAAACCAATGGTGCACATGGGCTCCAGTATCCTAAGGGAATAAATGGCGTATAAACCTATTTTTGGTCATCGGCTACCATGTGGCTGCATCTTTTAACGTTGCTCCACTGTCTTGTGGATTAGACTTTTCTGTTGAAGGCTCGGAGTGTGGCCCCCTAATAAAACCATCTGTTTTGGTCTGGGCACCCAAGAAGTACGTATCACAGCCCACACACAAATCAAGTGACTTGTGCGACGCATATTTATTCTGTGCTTTTTTGTACCAATGTTTATGTATTTAAATAAATAAATACTAACAGAACATTTTAGTTGAATTCAATATTAAAATTTCAGTCATATATTGTGTCAAATGAAAAAAGGTAAATTAATTGGAAATAATTTACATAAAAAGATTATAATACATTAATATGTATTGCACTTGTTCCTAATTTTATGGTGAAAATATTATTTCAACAGTTGGGATCATGAGTCAATTGAAGCTAGACCACCATGGAAAACCTTGAAGCACTGGACGGCGGTTTCGTCCTATTGTGGGGCTCCTCAGCAGTGCGCATCCACGACCCCGCCTCGCCAGATTCGAACCCAGGATCTATCAGTCTCAGGCGCTTAGGAGTCTCATACTAGGACAAATTGGTGGTCTAGTGATTCTAGGTTTTCCATGATGGTCTAGCTTCAATTGACTCATGATCTCAACTGTTAAAATTACTACAATCTCCACAAAACCCCTTCTGAAAATATTATTGTTCATACATTTATTGATTTTCGTTTTAGACACAGTGCAATTAAAAAAGACAAAGGTATACGTACATCATTTCAAGTTCGTAGAAAAATTGAAGCAGAAATTAAAAAAATTCGTAATGAATCTATTGAACGAAAAAAAGCAAAAGATGAATTAAAAAGAATGAAACGTTTAAAAGAAGAAGAGAAACATCAACGTAAATTAGAAAATGAACGTCGTTCAGAAATTGTTGTACCGGTTAGTAATTATACTCAAATGATTATATCCTCTGTGTTACTTTATTTTTTAGATAACAAATCCGGCAAAACTAAAACGTTTACGAAAAAAACAAATGCGGACAGTTGTAACACGATGAAAAAGAAGATTATTTTTGGCTATAATAAATTTCAAAATATAATACTTTTGTATGTTCATTTATTTGTTGATAAATTGAGATTGAGTTATCAACAAAGTTAATGCCCATAGTCCTAATTAGTATATACAGAACACTACACTTACTTACTTACGCCTGTTACTCCTCATGAAGGATCATAAGCCGCCCATCAGTATTCTCCATCCAACCCTGTCCTGGGCAATCCCTTCCAGTTCCTTTTCATATCTGATTCTATTTCCCGACGTAATGTGTTCTTTGGCCTTCCTCTTTTCCGCCTTCCTTTAAGATTCCAAGTTAGGACTTGCCTCGTGATGCAGTTTGATGATTTGCGTAATCTATGTCCTATCGATTTCCATCGTCTTTCCCTAATTTCCTCTTCAACTGGAAGCTGGTTTGTTCTCTCCTAGAGAAGACTGTTGCTGATGGTATCCGGTCAATGGATGTTGAGTATCTTGCGTAGACAAATATTTATAAATACTTGTACCTTCTTGATGATGGTTGTAGTAGTTCTCCAAGTTTCAGCTCCATACAGTAGAACTGCCTTGACGTTCGTATTGAAGATTCTCACTTTGATAGTGGTTGGAAGACAGTTGTTTTGAGTTCCATATGTTCTTCACTTGTAGGAATGCGTCCCTTGCTTTTCCAATCCTCACCTTTACGTCTGCATCTGAACCTCCTTGTTCATCGATGATGCTTCCCAGGTATAGAACACTACAACTGGTAGTCGAAATACAATGATCAAGTTCATATCGTCTGTTAAATAGTGTTTATCTCATTTGAATTACGTTTTTAAGTGTTTTATAGCTCTTTGTGTCTTTTTTTATATTAAGGTGACTGATTTCTTAAACTTGGACAGTTTGACTGTTATTTTCAGTACCATTAGCATCCTTCAAGTGAAAGTAATTAATACAAAGAGGCTTGAGTTTTTCTTCTATTCTGGTGTACTCGTCTCCATATTCAGTGTCGTCAGTCCCATTATCTTCTGGTCAATTTTTTATAGTAACTTGTCATATAATGTTAACTACAGATAATATAGTCACATACTTACGCCTTGGTTTTTGTAACTCAACTGTAGGAGTTTCATTTATTTTGATATGTATCTTCTAACAAAGTTCAAGAATATCTTATTTTATTTCAGAGGTTAGTTTATCAAAGGGACACTTTTTGGTGACTAGTTTTGTCACAGACTAACATCAACTAAAAGACCATTACAAAGTAGGGAACATGGTGTGAGTGTATTTCCACTGTCCAGGGTTTCTCGGTAATTCATACCTATAGTCTTAGGTGATACAGAAGTCAGACTTTATTGTCTAGGTTATAAAATTCTTCCCGACTGTAGCTTCTAACTTGACATGGTGTTCGTGCTTGCCTATTGTGATAACTCAACCGAGCTACATTGGCTGGGACACATCTTCCTTCGGTTCCTGCCATTCCAGACAGGTAGGTAGGAGGACGGTTAAACTAAAAGAAGAAACTTAAAGTCTGAGGGTGAAGTCATACTGATGACTAGTAGTAAGACGTTTTCCTCGGGCAACCAGTATCTGCGACGATGCTGTCTTCTCACAATGGAAGGAGGGGGTTACAGTAGGTTGACCCTAAATTTGTCACACCTCACCTTGACCCACGGATTTCTGTCTGGCGGTAAGGCTTTTTAAAGCGCTAAGATGACAGAAACTTCTCATTGAAAAACCGCATGTGACTGGCCTCAAGCAGTTGTCCCTTCTAGCATATGTTTAGCATCGCGCGCCACGTCTAACTCTTTCTTTTATTGACTATTACCCCAGAAGGGCTCCAGGTGAAGTTAACCTAAAGTGCTATCGTACTATAAAATGCTCATTAAAATCAAATATTTGAAGTTGCGTAATTATTTAACAGCTAGTGAAAAATATTGGGATTTAGATTCTTGACGGTTAAGTGCTAATTATCCGCTTAAGAAATATGAAGAACAGGAAAACTAAACGTAAAAATAATTAGAAAGACGAGAAAACGACTGATCGTGGAAGATAGAAAGAGAAATTAAGACCACGGTAGGGTGATGGACTGGACATACTGTTTTTTTACACAGAGGTTAAATTTGGTAGATAGCTAGAAGCTTTAGTTCATAAGTCTTGAATTTGTATTCCTTTCGAACCTAGTTTTTTAACTGTATGAATAATTTTGAAAGGGGATTCTGGCAAAGTAGCATCACTAAAACTGACTAGAAGAGCTATTGATTTTGTATTATAATTGGAGATGCACTATCCTGCGGGAACAAATGGCGTATGAACCAATTGTTGGTCACCGGCTTCCATGGGACTGTCTCCTTACGATGCTCCACTGCCTTGTGGATCAGACCTTCAGGTCGAAGGCTCGGGGTGTGGCCCCCTAAGAAAACCACCTGCTTCGGTTTAGGCACCCGGGCAGTATCCCAGCCCTCACACATATCGAATGAGATTTGTGTGGTGCATATGTATTTGGTGCCTCGTTGTACCAATATCTATGTGTTAAAATAAATCATCTAGTTATTTATCTGTTTAACCGAAATCTTACTTCTTACTCTCGTATACATGAAATACTTTTGATATGGATTGATCCTATTCCCACCTTTGAAGATTGAACATTCAAGTTTGCCTTGATATTTTGTGAAGTTTGTTTTCTTGTATAACTTCACTTCTCATATTTCTAGCCACAAATATATCTATCCGACTAAAAAGTGTTTACTAATAATGTGTTCTATGTAAGAAACCAGTTATTTTTACTAATCCATTTAATTTATGCTATCTCAGCAAGCTGTATTGTCGGTTACTATGTTAAACCCATAAAACTTATTCTAGCCAGTTTATTCATTCTTAAGCTATATTTTGATCTTGTTTTATATAAGCATATGTGTGTTCACTTCTTATCTCATTCATCACATATCTTTAGCTTATTTTTGTGTCACTATAAATATCGATTAACACTTGAGTAAATGTTGTTGACTCACGCCTTCACCGCGCATCATTTCGCTTCGCTCTTGCTTGACTTATTTAATTCCGTTATTCACCAACGCGGATTAAGTTGATGAAATATACGAGGATAGGTGATATATATATATACTGTATGCTGTGTGAATTGATTCGATCATCAATTTTCGTCCGAATTTTGTCGAGACCAATTTATGAACGAGCGAGTCACAAGCGTTTGAAAGATTTCAGGGTCACGGTGCCGATTTCAGTACCTGATGCTCACGTACGATTGGTTGACAGCGGATTTGAGAGAAAACGTAATAATTGATTAAGGTAATCAAATGACTTGTGGACCTTGTGCAGACTACCGTGATGATGTTGTCTTTCAGTGTAATATGTATTGGAGGAAGAAGTCTGCTAGAATAGGCTTTTTTCGCTCGATCCAGATTAAGGCAAATCATGATAATTGTTACGAACTGGATGATAAAAGTACCAGTAACACTGGCTACAGTTAGGTACTACAATATATACGGATAATTGGAGAGGGTACAGATGCCTACATAAACTTGGTTATTTGCATCGTGTTACTTTCTACAAGCGGCATTTTATGGACTCACTAACAATACTGAACTTATATGGTCAAGACTGGAAGAGTTCTTGCGTCTTTTTCATGGCTCCATAGGCCGACAATTTTAGAACCTCTGAAGCTCTTTCTAACTTTGACAAGATATTGAACCATGTAAAAGAGGTGTATCCACTTTAATTCTTTGGTTTTTTATAATATATCTTAACTCTTTATTGATTGGCTAATATTTTTCAAGGTCACATGAGATTTGTTCAAAGGTCGTCCGTAAATTAATAGTCTCAGTTGAATTGTTAAATGAGTTTATATAGAATGTACCTGAGATGCAGGCACATCCAGCTGACGAGTCTCAAATAGGACGAAACGCGCATCCTGGATTCCACTGCTAGCCACTATCCATTATTGCTTACAAAAAAACATATTGATAGTTCAAATATGAATGTTGAATATAGATAAAGAATTATATTTAATCATGTGAATAAATTGAGAGAAAATTATTATTATGATTAACATAACAGATTGTATATTCATATTGAATATTTGGCTTTATACTAGTGTTTACTAGGCTTGTAGTTCCAATTCACGGTATGGGTAGGCGAATAACATTAAATTGCTACAGGGTAATGAAGAGAAGCATTAGTTCTGCCAAGATTGCAACTGCACACTACGAACTAGACAAATATGATATTAGTTACTAAATTGTGACTAATTAAAATATAGACTTGATCTTATAATAATGTACTTGACCTAGTAAAGTTTACATTTCGTGAGATTCCCACTAGAATGAAATATGTTCAAACCCAATATTTTAGATTGAAGTTTAGATTCTGAGGGCAGAAAACCAGAGCCTTGTGTTAGTTGTTGTATGGTAAGCTTCAGTATGTCCCTAATTTTCTCTTAAATATCAAGTGAAGGTGCAGACATTACGTTTTTCGGTAGTAGTTTCTAAGAATTGATCACTCAATGGGAAAACCTGTCCTTCATGTGAATTAAATATGTTCTTGACTTTTAATTTACTTCAACAAAAGGAAAGGAATATCAAGTCGAGAATCACTTCTTAGTATCCTTTAATGGCCCGTTCGCATGCAAAGCGAGCGAGAGCCATAACAAAGCAATTATGACACGTATGGAAGATGGCTGGGAAGCCAACTCTATCTTTGTCAAGCGTTACTCAATATTTATAGTCAGACAAAATAAAGCTACAGACATGTGATTAATGCGATAAGAAGGGCACACACATATACGCTCATATAAAAACAGTCAAGACTGACAAGCGAATAACTGACAAGGTCAAAATATGGCTCAAGTAAAATGAATAAAATAGGATGTCCGGAAGTTAGAATAAGGTATATGGGCTTGCCATAATAACTGACACTACAATCCTATACGTCGGGATTAAGTTATCTCTTAATCTTCAATGGGATAATATAAATTGATCTAATTTCTGAGGTCATTCATCTTAAGGTCACCCGAAC